GTGAACATTCTGTACTTCCCTTTGTTTTCACTTACTATTAGATAAACATACAATCAAATCAAATAACATTTGCAAAAATCAAGACATTCCTTCAAAATGCACGATATAATGCATGACCTAGACAGTGTACGTCTCTCTCAAATTGGTTAATCAGTGTTTTATAGTATGATACTTCATTCAAAATTGGCTAGCGTAGCATGAATGTTTGGATTCAATTGCTTTTTCACTTTTTTTCGTATACCAATATTACAAGGCCAAGGAATACGTGAACACACTGACAAATAGTTTCTTGACCTTAGGGTATACATGGTAGACTCGTCTCACTACGTCACGAAATGATTTAAAATGTTTTCAAAAACAGTTTGAAGATTATTGAAGATGACTACGCTACCTTGGGCTTCAATGGAAAATTAATTGTCATGTTCTGTTTGATGGAAAATTTACAGCATCCTCCCACAATGTGATTTTTAATGTGTAATGAAACGTGTCTCATGATAGTCAAAACATAAGATAGGGGATGATAACAAGCTGACCTTAATTCGTCTAACGTATCCCCCTATACGTGCATTCAATGATTCGAGAGAGCATCTAATATCAACTTTTCTAATCTTTCTGGACTACAGAATGAGTAGACCTATAAGAAAAGTACGAACATGATGAATAAGCGTGACTGGACAATAGTAGAATAGGTGCTGGTCCGGGACACTATTCCAGAGTTAATTTTCAAATCAAACCATATCTTCGGCGATTTATCATCGTTTGGTATGACGTCACCGGACGCAACTTTGTTCGTAAAACAGAAGAAAAGGAAATATGGAAAATGCATTTATTTTCCCGATATTTTGGTAATTTCATGTCTTCATTTTACAAGGAACGAACTGCTTCTGAAACCCATAGGGAACAACAGACAATAAATGTACCATTCAATCATTATCATGATTTACGTCATAATTAATACTGGATATCATCAATTCTAACTGCGTTCCCTCTGGGAATTGAGAATCATCATTTCATTCATAATACAGTCATACATACGCACGTAATATCCTGACAGAATTATAAGAATAGTGACACACGTCCATATGTGAACAATCACATATAAATTGAATAAATCCATATCGACATTGTCCTCTTAGGAATTTATGTCAAATTTGGCAGACGACTGGAATTAAATCATTGTCTAGTTTTCCGATGTATCAATCGTACACTAATAAGAATTTACTTCTGATGACCGCCCCCTCTAATATAGCCTTTCCCTTTTGAATTAGTTAAACTTGGACAACCTTTTCTATATCTTTTTCTTTCTTCTGCAATATTTTACACAACATTGTTTTGTCTCCACCCTCCCCCTGTGATGTAAAGAGTAAATGATCCTCCTACCGATTGATAGGCAAGTAGGCTATCTACACATAATTTTATGCTTAAAACTTTATTCGTTTCGTCATGACGTCTATACCTTATTATCGAATTGTTGATGATATATCTAACCCCCTGATATACAAATTATCAACAAGCTCGACGCAAATGTCATTATTGATATTAATTCTGCTTTGGGAGGCATCATTAAATAAATAACTTGCTTAAACAGAATTTGACTTATTTTGGAGTGGATGTTCTAAGAGTCAATCAAAGTTGACGAAGATTATGGATTTAGAGATGCAGTTTATATTTTGCTTTTCATCGAATTGTCAGTGTGTGTTTTGTGTCAGTACAGTTGTATTCAATAATAAAGGCGTATTCTGTTCATTTCAAGAATAAAATTGATTTAGAATATCAGATCATTCGTCATTGCCAGTAACTATTAACTAATCTAAAATGTCAGTGATCATTGCTTCACAAGTATACTGCCATGGAAAAAACCCAGACAAACAAGACATGCTGCATAATGTTTCCCGTCTTGGATTCATGGATATTTGTTGCTCTAAACTTGATATTGAACCTACATGACTCGGAGCATTGAGGCAAGACTAGAGAAGAAACATTGCGCAGACGATATCCCGTGTAGAAGTGACTGGGTCGGTGAATGTCTAACCCTTTTGGCGGGAATCCAAGTATTTCAGAGCCCTAACCCCCCCCCCCTAACCAGGCTCACCAATCATAATTTCTGAAGGAAGGTATGCGAGCAGCCAGCCATCTTTCTGTAGTGGATTTACGCTAGGTCTGACTGAAATGCCGGGCTCTAAGCCGATTCATTACTGGTAGGAATACAAATGATTGCAAAGAGAATTTTCAGGATCTCGATGTACATCCATCACCGATATATAAGCATTAGACATCCGATATCATTTCTTATTTCTTATGTTTGATTTCTTGTCAATCTCTATGTGCAGTTTCCCATCTATCAAACAATATTTACGCTGCTACTGTGCAACGTTGAAATGTGACACAACTTGTTGGTCTACACATCGGAAAGAATGTAATGAATACACTCATGTCTTCCTCTTACAAACATCTTTGTTTTGAATATGGAAACGAAGCAATTCTTATGTGTTTTGTCTAACTGTTAAGAATGTATACTGAAAATATTATGATTATGGTCACATGACATTGTGTGATATGCAGCCCTCATATCTTCAAACATAAACCAGTTACCGAACTTTCTTTCTGGGAAACAAAGACGAAAGACATCATCATCGAATTTTATTAATGCCAGTAACTGTTATCACAGGATGTATCGGTGATCAGTTATATGCAAATTTTTACGACAATTTTACAGTAAGTGACGTGTCCAGCAAAAGGCAAAGCCAGCACACGCCCCGGCCCCATCCATTCCAAGGCCCGAGGTGAAAACCCCCTCCTATATCTTGCAAGGGTATACAGAATGAGGGGCTGCCGCCCTCAATGTTCACCACATTTCTGGAGACGCCGCTGTGCTACGTTTAGTTATGATGACCTTAAAAGAAAGTCTTAATGTACTCGATCTTTTAGTATAAATATCAGAATTTGCATGCAGCACAAAAAGAAGCTTTTTAATTTTCTGATTGTCTATATTCTTATAAAACAATTGTTATTTTCTGGTCATTGCGTCTTTAAGTTTCTAAGCTTCTGATAATATTCCATGATTCATGCTTATGGTCGTTTTCTGGGTTTCGGCCAACACGAATGAATATCTCAGATCATCCGAAAGGGTTGTTGTTTTTTTATTTCCGTATAATAAAATCAGATACAAATACATATAAAGTAATCATACAGAGAATAGGGACCGTATACGGCTGGTAGCCCATTTTCAGCTGCAACTATATTGTTGCTGCTGGTCTTCCATGGGGCCAGGGTGCAAAGAAGTTAGTTGATGTGTAACCAAAGTTTCCCTCTAAAACGATAATAGACATCAGAAACCACCGTTCTTACATAACCTTCCGTCCATTGAGATTTGTAATATTACTTCTGTTATGATGCCAAACATTCCCACATACACGTGTTTTACATGGTTTAGAAATTCTCCTAACACGACCGAATTCGATTGAATTCATTGGCACGTTTTCAATTACATTCAAATTGTTCACTCTTACTTCCTTCTTCGAAAATTTGTTCCGTCACTTGCTTATTGTAATATGACATAAAAGAAAACAATGTTCAATAAAGAATAGGCCATTTTCGTAATGTAACCAAATTTAATACATAAGTCTTTGTGAAGTGCCTCAATACAAATAATTTAATTCACCTGAGAAGAATAATAGTATTTCAATAGTTAGAATGCAACTGCATAATATTGAGTGTTGCTAGGTAGGTCAATCAATAATGTCTGACCTACCTGGCAACAACTAATTTATGCAGTTCGGATTCTGTCTACTGAAATACTATTATTCTTATCAGGTGAATGAAATAATTTGTATTGAGGCACTTCACGAAGACTTGTGCATAATATTTGGTTACATTACGAAAATGGCCTATTTCGATGTAATGAAAAAGAAAAATATCCCTTACCTATATCACTATAAAATCAATAACATCATAAAAGCGAAAACAGAAGAAAAGTGACTTAAGGTTTCATGTAATAAGTGCTACTGTAAATTACATTCTTTCATGAAAAAGGCATTGACTTTTGTCTGAAATATCACTTGTTTAGATTTGATTTGATTTATACAGAGCATTTATGCAGAGCACGTTGTTATAAAACAGCTTGTTATATATTCAACGAAACAAATAATGCAGGCAGTTGGATCATTTGCATCGTCTTTTGAGTGCCTGATCAAACACATTGCGCATTAACTACCCCCATATTTATGAATCGCTATACATTATTAGTTATCACAATAAACGCTGGTCGCAAATAAGTGAATTACATTAACAAAAATTCAGTCCCAAAGCGAACAAGAACTTGGAGTAATGGAATTATTTCATTCACATTAAACCCTGACTAAATAAAACAATGTTGGTTAAAAGATCCTTCATTCAGGACAATTAAATCCTTAGCCACTAATTGTGGGTTTGGTATCGGGTTACTACCATTTAATGATTCCTGGACAACAAAATCATGTGGTCATTAACTTTTAATATTTCTCTTTAGAGCACAATAGTATCATAGCCAAAGCAGGTTTCTTCTGACACAATACAATCACAATCAAATGTCTTTTGTTGTGCTACTTTAATAACTCCATTCAATATCAACAAAATATCGAGCATTAAGATTCGATTTTTTTTGGTGACGTGTCGGAAACTTCGGATTATTTTGGTTGCACAGTAAACATGAAACTAAAAAAAAAAGTGTTTTGTCTATATTAATCTTAATGATAAATTAACGATCAAAATATAATGAATCAGGATTAAAGCATGCTACAAATTGTTCGGAAACGGACCATGCTAATAACTTTGTTTTCAAATTGCCTTGAGCATTTTGACATCATCTTTACACTCCTAGTAGTTACCCATGTTCTTTATGGAAACCCTAGGTTACGATCATTATGGTTCTAGATCAATTAGTACAGCATACTCAAATGGCACAATTTAAATATACATGTCAAGAATGAAAAAACAAAAATAGAATAAAATATTAAACCTACCACCACCGTTTTTGAAGACAAGGTAGGGAAACCTCCAGACATTTCCTAGACCGACGGCAAAACCAATGCAGATCATGATAAAGTCCATTTTGTTATCCCATCCTTCTCTCTCCACCTCTGCATTTTCTCCCTCAATTTCTCCCTTTTTCTCCAAGTCACCACCATTCTCCTGTTGCCGCTCCTCCATCTCTAAAGTTTGTTTGTCCTCCGTACTCGTCATCATGGCGATGTGTTTTCCGCTCGAATCTGAAGAAATGCAACAATATGATTACTGCAGTTGTGATGAAATAGAGGATAAAGGCGATTCTATTTTAGAGAGGAGTTATCAGTGTCCCGTTCCTTTGCTTTAATCTAGACCTAGCCTGTATTACATGAAATAAAAGCTTATAAGTTGAAGCAAGAAGATTGCAGCAGAGTTGAGACCACTGTTGATGTGTCTCAGACGTAAGACGGATTTGCGTGTGATCGCTGCACACGGAAAGAGCTGATATGAATGAACTTGGCGAGGCACCTCAGTTTTGTTGATAACCTAACTCCCGACAAACCCTGTGGCATTTGCTGGTGTGTTGTGCATGTGACCGGGGGTTGTAAACCTAGAGTACGCGTGGGACTGAGTCTGCGTTAAAAATGATGATGCGTAAATGGTGCGCATTCGCAACAAAAAACTGCAGGGGCAAAAAGAGACAATCAGACATACATGTATTTGTGAATGGCTGAATACTACAAAATGAATTTTGGCTTGTTTGTACCCCAACAGAAAATTCTCGATTAACTTTCGTCATATTATTGACTAACCGATGATATGTTTCAAGGAATGTGCAATATATAAGTTTAATAGTTTCGTAGCCCTATAAACTGTTTAAACATAAGATTTTTAACACTAATCTCGATGTAAATGAAAAATGAGTTATTCAGTTACTCGGTTTGAATAATATTATACACATGGTATAGGTCTTCAACAAAAATCAATAACTGCCACAACTTTAATCATTCAACAATATGCAACCTAAAGATAATATAACCTTTAAAAAAAACTTAATCGTATTCGATAGAATAATGCACGATTGAATATGATTGATCATTCATGATAATATAATGATAAATAAAGATGATAATGGTCAAGATTGTTTATATGCCTATATTATAGATAGCCTAGAATGGTTTATAAACCAGAAAGTTTCATATGCAGTTCAACGCAGTTGATTTTTCTTTTCTTCCAAAGGGTTCATTATATAGCTTGGCACCCCCGGGCCGAGCATCAAGAGGCTTTTGTTGGTCCAGTGACAAGGTGCTCGAGATTGAACTTTAGTCTGGCCATTCTCTGCTACACCCACCCCTTATGCCCAGTGGATGGTTGGGTTGGTGGTACAGGTACCGAGCCAGGCAAAGCATGAAGGGTCTCGATCGCGACCCGACTCTCAATACTGTTTACATACCCTTACCTGTTCCAGTCATATGACCTGTGACGTCACACAACCACATAACCAGATCGTATTAATATGATTGTGTAATTATGTATACACAAGCAAAAACAGCCGGGTGCTTCACACGCATCTGATATGGAAATGTCAAAACGATAAGCACTTGTAAATGACATCCATGATGCCAATGAATTGAAGGATTTTGGTTTTAGAAAACTGTAACGTTGCTACTTATATTTCAAAAATGATCTTTGTAATAAAAAAAAATGACCAACGCTATATTTAAGAGTGACGTTATGATAAAAACAAGATTGACATCTATTTAAACGATAAAGCATCAAGAAGAAGGGGCTACTGAACTTTCGATTGCAAGAAACCAGAAAACGGCAACGCCAAAAGGGCGTTACCTCAACAGTTTATGGGTCAACGAATGCCCTTTTTGGTTCCCAAAGGACGAATATCGGATGTAATCTTTAAGGATTAACAGACTCTAAATTAAGACCCAAATAGATGCCATTTTCAGTTTGGTAATATGACGTTGACAACATGAAGTTGCACTGGGACCTAAAAATCAGCAGTCCCCGAGTGTTATCGAAACTATGAGGTGTGAAGATTCATTATGACTCGTCTTACTGTTGAAAGTGATGATTGACTGAACTTAGTATTAAGTTTAATAGGAATATAAAAAAAAGTGTCAGTATGAAGCGGAAGACGAGTAATAGCTTAATGTGTAGCAGGCCTAATTAATGGCATAGTATCTGGATAACTGGCAGGGTTTCATGAAACATTGAAGAACCTATAGGAGGCGGGGATGAGATTAAAGATAAAGAGGATACATATTGCTCCAAACATCATTTCACGATAGCTTGAAATAAACGTTATCGTCTCTAGTGAGTCTATCATACATTCGATCAGGAGATATTCGTTGGATAATATTGAGTGGATAAATCTCCAAGAAATTCTTTAAAGATTGCAGCAACATATACATTTGCTTTCTTTAATGCTTTTCATTAGTTGTATAACAGCTTGAAAGATGTTTCCACACTTTGTGTGCACATATCTACATTAATTTTCTAGTCTGATACTCAGTCATTGATGGTGTCTTTGCGTTTATAAGTTTCTTAAATTTCACAGTTTTGGTAGTTGTGCTGCTTGTATCTTGAAATTGTCGAGGTTCAATATGTTGCGAGTAAGGTCGAATTTGAGCTGTAATTTTTTCAAGTGTCTCCACTTAGCGTTTCGTATTTCAGAATGCTGTGACCCTTCATTGAGCCACCGGCATGACTGGACGCAAGAGATGTTTTTATTTGAACCTACGCACTACAGTGAAAATAAAAATAATAACACTGGCACGTGGATGGTATAGTAGATTAGTAGGCCTACTATTAAATGCCAAGACAAACGCAATGCAATCTCGCAATGATATTACGCATGCACTGAGTGGAATGTTTATAAACCTGATGACTTGGCCTCATCCGGGGCCTCACATGTTGTATACGATATGGTTGCCTACCCCTAGACCAGAACCTCCGTCATGCTAAATCGGGACTTGCCCCCCGACCAACGTCACACTGAGCCGCTGAACTGAGTCTGAACTACTGCAGAATGTGCAGTCCGACGCGATGTGTGCTGAGTAAGTGATGACAGGATGAAAAGTTCCTCTCCATACATCCATCCAAGTTCAACCCCAGCGTGCTGCGGTTAGTAGAGGCTGTGTTGTGGTAGTGATCGTCTCTTCTCCTGATACTTGCAAGCAGCGGAAGCAAAATAAAGAAGGGGTTCTCCGATCTCATGCCGGGAATTCCTGAGGCTTCAATGTCATCGTGAGCTTGTATGTATACAATGTCTGCATCACTTGGCCCGTGGTGCGGGATTCATACGAAGCTAGGCTAAGCCATAACCCAATTAGAATACATTACATTATGGATGCATCATAGAGACATGATGGAGAATAAAGTCTATGCAGAACATAATGATGCATTGTTGGCTTTTTTTAACACCAACGAACATCATCAATTTCTTGAGACTATTCTTCAAAAAATACTTCCCATAAAATGCTGTAATTAAAAAGGCATTTAGAGAGATGGAGTTTAAATATACATGTACAACATCCACTTTCACACATTGAATATACAACAACATTAACATTTGTATAAAGTATCTTTAGTCAAATATTTTTTTTTTCTTTTTTTTTTGGTGTGCACCTCCATAGGGGTAGCCTCTCTCATTTAGGCTCTGTGTTTTTGCTCTAATTTCACTTTAAAGATTGCTTGATTTTGTTATTTGTTGCTGTTAAGTGAGTTCTTATTGGTCAAGGATCAGCTTAGTCAACTTACAAGGAGTAATTTGGTTTGAATGTTGAGTATTTTATGTTTTCATTTTTGTACTTGGTTTCTGTATTACTTGAACTCTGATGTTCTGCCATTTGCATTCACTTTACTGTACATTTTCTGGCATATCTTGTTGTACACTTCATTGAGTCTGTGATCTTTGTATTCTAGCTGAATGAATTGTTGTGCACACATACTCCTTTTGTGTAATCCTCTTAAGGTATTTTCCTGTTACAATGGAGGGTATTAGACTTTTGAAAGTGCTCTTGTGTGTAACACTTGTTACAGCTGTGTTGAGAACTCACAGTGGTTCTGACCTGTCTTTTGTTGTAAGGAAATGGTGGTTGAATCCACACATTCCTGTTAAAAGCAGTTTGAAGTTCTGTAGTAGACCAATATTGTATTATAGTAATACTACAGCAAGTTTCCAATTGAGTACCTTACTCTCTGGCGATATTGAGCCTAACCCAGGCCCACAGAACCTCGATGGTCTTAACTTACATCATGATCATGTTCATACATCTCAATATACTGATTATGCACCGTCAAGTCGTATTTGCTATGATTTAAATGCTCTCTATCAGTTGAACAGACAGCCTTACCAGCTGCTATCTCAGCCTATGTGGACCAGGGTTTGTGAGCTTGGTATCGGTCGCCGACGTCAAACTCACCGCGGACGTAAGCCCCGTAAGCGTAGGGTCCCAAGGTCACAATACTCTGCACCTATTTCTGTGCCATCCACTGGTCTCCAACTTGGCCTATGGAATGCACGATCCTTGACCAATAAAACACATGCAGTTACTGATTTAGTTGTAGACAATAACCTTGATGTATTAGTCATAACTGAGTCATGGCTATCTGGGGATAATAACAGGGACGGTCACACTTTGGCCGATATGAAGTTATGCTTGCCTAATTATGATTTTACTCACCGACCCCGTAAGTCTTCTAGGGGTGGTGGCATTTTTGTACTTTATAGATCCACAGCTCGTTGTACTGTAAATTCCAATGATGATTTTTCTTCCTTTGAATTACTTGATTTAATAATCAACCTTACCCCATCTTCTGCTGCTAGATTGTACTGTATTTATCGTCCTCCCTCCACAAGTAACAATGTCTCTAACAGCACCTTTCGGGAGGAATTTTTAACTCTTCTTGAAGGTGCTGCTGTAACCGATCACTTCCCTCTACTCTTAGGTGATTTTAACGTACATGTTGACGATCCCCATGATAATTTTGCAAAATCCTTCATGGGCGGAGTTAATTCTCTTGGGTTTAAGCAGCATGTCCATGAACCTACGCATCGAGCAGGCCATACCCTTGACCTATTATTCACCAGAGATTCAGACGACATCGACCATGTGAAGCTGTTGTCTTCACTCCCTTCCGATCATTGTGCACTAGTTGCTACATTTAGCCTCACCAGGCCCCAGAACCCGAAGAAGGAAGTGAGCTTCAGAAAATTTCGAAGCATCAATATGGACTCTCTACGCAACGACATTAAACTGATCTTCCATCCACTTTCTGAACCTGTATGTCCCTCTAGATCTGCAGATCAATACAACTCCTTTTTGGGTACTTTGATTGATAGGCATGCTCCTCTTCAAGTCAAAACCGTCACAATTAGACCTAAAGCGCCTTGGTTTACCGAAGACGTGCGGGAGGCAAAGAGACGAAGGCGCCGGGCGGAACGCTGTATGATCAAGTCAGGGCTTTGTGTTGACAGGGAACTGTATCGTCGA